GAGCAGGTTTTGTGGTATCCCTTCCCCTATACCCCCATTGAGTTGGAAATATTGATCCAACTTGGCTCTTACTTTCTGTCTAGTTCATCCAGCTCCTGTCAGTCCACCTTTTGCCATGTAGTAACTGCATCGTATCTCATCTGCTCACTGATTTCACTCGATATTGGTCTTCACGCTTTTAATCGAACTTGTATTTTCTGTTACAACAGAAGATAGAAGAATTTTTCAAAACTATCCGTTCATATTCATCGTCTGCTAGTGTGCTTAAGCCTACTCATATTGTATATAAGTAACATCTTCATTTGAACCGGTAAATGTGAATTGCCATAAAGTTGAGATGTGAGTTAACTGTGTGGCGTGCATGACCGAGTTTCCAGTCCCATAGGAGTGGAAATGGGGCCACGGCGAGGGCAAGTGTGCAGTCCAGGCCGGCTGCAAAAGTGCCGTTTCGGATGCATGACCCAGTTTCATTGTGATGACTGCAACTTTCGCAGCTACATCCTCTTACTGAGACGAAACGAGCAGATAGATTGACTTCAAAGCATGTCGAACGGCACCTCCAAATTGCCCTTCTACAGACGGCCCACCAGAGTGGAAGGACCCAGTGTCATCGCTTACAGCCTAAAGTGTATGCGCCTCAAGGCCAGTCGGACCATTCTGTGAACGGCAGACGACCAGTTGGCATCCCGGTTGCCAGAAAACCGGTTCTAGTACACCTCATTATCGCCTTTTTATGGCGGCCAGTTCTTCCGTAGGTTTGGCGGGCCACGATAACTGCTGGCATGACAGTTTTCCGTTGGCATCCTGTTCAAGTAGGCTGAAATTTATTTCATATCGGCTAACTACTGCCAGGAGAAAGGGGATTCCAGTGAAAAAAGGCCACGATGGCCAAAGTTGCTGCCTCCCTTGCCGGTTGTGTTGGCGCACATTTTGAGGCAGCCCCGGGCCCCTGTCCGCCCGCCAGCCTACGGGACACTTCCGCCTCGCAAGCCCCCTCAACCTCGTGTTTTGCCCTCCGTCCGTCCGTCTGTCCGTCAGTTTCTTCGTGTCTTGTCCCTCCTCCTTTTTTACATCTGCCCCCACGCCCACCTCCACACCCCACTTCAGCCCATCCTCGGCCCGGTCCTCCCAGTTATCCGGATTCCCTGGGCCTGACGCCTTTCAGCCGGGCAAGAGGGCAAAACACGCCGGAAGCGCCAAGGGAACATCCTCACGCATGAAAAACATCCACCCAGAACCGGTCAAACCTATTGACATTAGGCCTGGGAGCGAAGCCGGCTGGTGCCGAGACGGCCATTTTCACTAGAATCTGTTTATTTTGCCTCCATGACGCGGGCGGCCAGGGTGTACAGCGAGCTTTCTGCTGGCCGACCGGCGGGGCCTGCCTGCGAGATCGGAGGATGAACAATTATTACAAGAACAGTGAATTATGCCATTCAACC